CTAATGTTTGTGATAATGCTGCCAAACAATATTTTTTGAGGAGTTGAATAACTAATTCATTATGATTGTATTCACCTTAGAAGCTCAATATTCGAACCGAACGTGCAGAAAATCTATATTTTAAATTTTCTGTCTCTTATCATGCGCTTCTTAAGATTTATTTTTATATGAGAAAATTGCACAAGTGTTTTGGAAAAAGAACTGAATGAAGAAAAAGTATTAGTATACATAAAATTTCTTGAATTTTTATTGATATTAGTTAGATATTCACGTTTCAAATTTCCTTAGACTAAGATTAGACATTGTATTAAGTACATAATAATTTCTTTTTATTATTCAAAATCAAAAAACTTCAGATTCTCAGATTTTTAGTTGAAACTTTCTTTTTTCTTTAATATTTTGTTGTGAAAATATTTTTATTATATAAGCAATAATTAGAATTGAAATCATCGATTTTTCTGTGAGACGTTGAATTTAATTTATTCTAGCAAAAATCTCAAAATAAGATTGAATTAGTAAATCGTTTTTGGTTAGCTGAGATATGTTATCTTTTTTTCAGCGCATCTCAGAAAGATATGTACCCAATTATTTAATAAACAAACTTTATTATGTTCAATAATCTTATTATTCTCTAGGCTTTTGTGAAAAATAATTGTTCTATTTGAATAAAAAAAGATAGACACTATACTCCTTCAACTAAAATATAAGGACATTTATTTATGTTTTTTATGACTTTATACTTCTATTGACTTATATTTTTAGTTGTCTTTACTCTGTCTGAAATCTTCTTTTCCATTAGTCAATCAATCAATTTATACAATGATTTAAAAGAAGGGTACTTTATTTTGTTTTAGATTGTGATCGATATAGAAATATATTCATAATAAATCTGTAGTTAAACAATGGGAAATGCACGAGCAGGTTTGGTATTAAATTTTCTGACAATTATAGCTGATGGATGTGCATGTATTATTTCGATTACTATTTCTATTTACATTATAATTCACGTAATTATCAATCGCATAAAGTCTGAAGACAAAGTAACATTAGTCCTTTGTGCTAATATCTTATTACTTATCTTTCTTTATGGAGCAATCGTAGTTTCATTTTCTATTAATTCAATATTAGGTGAATTCTATGGATTAAATTCTGATTCTTCATGGTGTATATTTAATGGATATCTTATTGCAGTTATTGTCGCTGCTATGTACAATGTTTTTGTTAGTCAGGTTATTATTGATTGTGTATAATGTGAAACATGATCTACTAGAAGTATTGAAGTGTAGGAGTAGAAATTTAGATCGTTTCTCTCCACAAACATCTTAGCAATGCCTTCTTCTTTTCAAATTTTTATAGATATGATCAAGAGTGTCAGACCTAGTCATAAAACCGAAGTCTATCAGAGAATAAATGTGAAACACCTTTGAATTCATGATGTTGTATCTTTTGTCCTCTTTCTACAGCCATTGTAATATAGGAAGACGAATATCTTCTATCATGGACTCATGCAAACAGTCTTTAGTAATTCACAAACCGAGACATCGCTATCGCCTTTTGCATTTTAATCCCACAGAGATTGTGCTGACTGCTGTTGATATAAAATATAATAGATAATGTTTTTGTTTCCCTAATATATATAGGCTGTCTATCGGCTATGTCGAATTGTCTATGCAACTAACAAACGGCTTCAACTCTATGGGCTTTATATGATAGCAGGTCCTATTCAATTAATGATAGGATTTGCTGTTCAATGTCCTGTACTTATCTGGCGGGATGTAAAATATATATCTGCTGAGAATTATTGTTTCATTCCATACTTGCAGTTACATGGAACAATATGGACTATAAGTGTTTCTTATGGATTTCCTCTTTTGGCTTTATTATTTATATATATTCGTATTACGATATTTATTTATCGTCAATCCACTGTTCAAACACTTATAGCTCAGCGTCGACAACAACGTGATGTACTTGTTATAAAACGAATTGCCATTACTGTTATTATGTTGCTTATTTTTGGATTGCCAAATTTGGTATTTGTAATAGTAACATCGATGACAGGTGTTGAATATGCACTTACTTATCGTATTCAATGGTTTATAGGTAGTTTATCCATGATAGGATTAAGCATAACAAATGTGGTATTGACACCTCAATTAAAAAGTATTGTAATGAAAAGATGGCAAGGAAGCCGAGTAGGAATTCAAAATACAAATACAACTCCAATGAGACCTGTTGCCACTGGTCAACAAACTTCTGAACTTTTGCAACCAAGATATTGAAATTTAAACAAAATACAAACAATTTCCTTCTTTTTTTTGGTTGTTCATATGATTAATATTGTAAAAGATGCTTGAAGATTTTATTCCGAAGACTGAATTATTAATTATGAGGGTGTGGGTGAGGGGTATGGCGGTGGCTGTGGGTGTCGATTCATAGAAGTTCCACACCCACACCCACAT